CTTGCTTCAGCGTGAAAGTTTTAGCAGTAGTCGTTGAAAAAATTTCAAAAAATTTCAATTTTTAAAAATTCAAAAGAGCTGTTCAAACATATCAGCTCCTTTCAAACGAGCTGTTCAAACATATCAGCTCCTTTCGCTCAGATGAGTTGAACTTATGAGCTGGAACTGTTACAGGTCTATTTAGGACCCCCTTAAATTTCATCCAATTGATTTCATATTTTTACCAGAGGTTTGCATGAGTTTTCAAATACTTTCAATTTTTTCAAACCAAAGGCGAAGTTTTCGGCGAAAAATCGAAAGAATCGAAAACGCATGTAGTAAACAACATTCGACTCCATTGTTTAAGTAGATTCCAAATTTATTTTTACACCAAATCTTGTTTTGATAACAAAAGTTACAAAATACCATTAAAAAAAATTAGAATCACAATTTTCTAGAGGTATATAATTTTTTCTTTTGATAATGGCACCATTCGATAGAGCATAAAAAGTTGTCTACACAGTATCAATTCTATTGTTTCAAGATTGCCTCGCATTACAGAAAAATACGAGCAAAAATATGAATCTGTTCTTCTTTCAGAATACTACCTTGAACTTTTTGAGCGTTTGATACAAAGTAAATTATTTTCTAATAATAGATGCTTAAAGAGCAAACCGCACGGTGGTACTCTCTGATACTAAAAGTGATATTCATGATCTGAAGTGATATTCATAAAATCTGCATCTAACCCATACAGTTTCAAAAGCACTTACAAAAAAACGTTTCTCGGAATTCTTAGAGACTCCAGGCGTCGAAAACCTCATAAAAATTTTCGAGAAACCAAGTAGTAAAAAATGGTCTTAGTAACCCCGTTAAGACGTTGCCCATATAAAAGATCATTTTCATTGTGGGATACAAATCACTTTTACCCGCCCGATTTCTCGAAAATTTTTATGAGGTTTTCGACGCCTGGAGTCTCCAAGAATTCTGAGAAATCTGAGAGACCGTTAGCTGGACAAGCCGCCGAGTTGATCTCAAAAGATGCGTCATCGTTTTTTACGTCAATGATAAAAGTCAAGTTAAACATTATAATTCAGACAGAAGAAATCTCCCAAGCACGTCCACAGAAGGCGCCATCCTTAGTAATATGCTCGATTTCTCCATGTGTGGGATTTGAGGAAACTATAGGTTGATGTAAAACAAAAACGTATGTATATTGTTCGAAACACTGAGGATTATGCAAAATATCTGAGATATTAATGTTTTCCTATATCTTTGATCTTCCGTCTAACCTTTTGAGATGAAAATACAAACGTTCTATTTTATTTATGATGAAATTGACAGAGCAAGTGAGACATTTTACTTGTATTTTGTTAGTCGGATAGTCGGATTTGCCCACCTCTGGAAATAGGGATACGGAACGCGTTAAAAGCATCTAGTGCTGTTGAATTTTTTCATTTTAGAAGCAGCAGATATAAACACATGGATGTACAAAATCAAACTCAAATATATGATTATTTGAATCACGTACACGATGATCTATTATTGAATTCAAAGGCAATTGAAAGTGCCTGGTTACTATATACATTTGTTTTTCTATCAACAACTGAAATTATATTTGGTGTAATTGGAAATGGTTTGGTGATCTATATTTTTCTAATACGATCAACAACAAAAACAAGCCATAATTATTTTACAGCAAATTTAGCGTTAAGTGATTTTATTCTATGTCTAATAACAATACCGTTAAATATTTATCGAAATTTAAATATCTACATGGCATTTCCACCTGTATTTTGTCATTTAGCAGAAGTATTTCCAGCAGTTAACGTTTACGTCTCATCATCAACTATAACAGCGATCGCCGTTGATCGTTATTTAACTGTTAAATATCCACATCGTCATTTAGTAGGACCGTTAGTAACAACAGTAACTCTAATATTTATCTGGATAATATCGATCGCTGCATCCTCACCATTATTTGTCTATTCAACATCGTCAAAAGTTTACGATGATTCACTTATCAGTGAAATGATTGCAATGAATTGTGAGTCAATAAATACGAACAATGATGGATGTCAAAAATATCATTTAGAAAAATATCAGAATATGCACGTATGTCTAGAAAAGTGGCCAAGTGCATACTGGCGATTAACTGAAAGAATAGCGACATTAATATTCCAATGTATTTTTCCAATTTTAATTATTGGTGTTACAAATTATCAAACTGCTCTCAAATTAAAAGAACGTAAGTGATTTTTTGTTTAACTATTGATTGTTTTACCCCCATTTTCTAATTTCCAGGATTTCGTTATCGTTTTATTATCAAAAGACACAACATACTATTATTAAGACAAGAAATTCGACGACAAAGACGTATTAATATTTTACTATTTTCTGTTATGTTTGTATTTGCTATCAGTTGGCTACCATTTAATATTTATCACATTGTGTCTATCAATCAAATATCATCAGGTACAAATCAGAATCAGTCTTGAAAACATTTCAATCATACGTAAAGGCACCATTTTAATTTAAATATTAAAACATTTCTTTACGCAGTAAATAGAAATCACTTTTTATCTAAAATTGATAAGGAGATAAGTGAAATGCGAAGAGCCTTTTTGAGATTCTGCTTTGTTTTGCTAGGATATTTTCATCATACTTTCTTTCTTTTTTTTTTCTTTTCTTATGAGATTGCATCTTCTGTAAAGACTACAAGTTGTATCGCTAGTGTTAGGGAACAGGCGACGGTTTTAATAGGTGCATTTCACCGACTTGTCTATAACGTTCTTTTTTGGGTGTTTTTGTGATATAGTGCTGAAGTTACACAGAAAAATATCAAAAAGATGATCTTCTCTGCTAGTTCTTTTCATTGTCTTTCTTGATCCAAAAACATCTCACAAAATTGTATACAGTTTATGTATTTTTATACTGAAAGCGATGTTTAGAAAGACCAATTATTCGATCAGTTAGTAATATTTTGTCTAATTTTCTTACTTTTCGTGTAATGGTGCGAACTCAATTTTCTTCCTTCTCTTCACTCAATCGTTTATCTCTAAACGATTGTAGTCATTCCATGTGTCTATATACTTTGGTAGCAGATATCGTATGCAGAAGAGTCGGTTTCACTTGTCGCCTTGCAAACTTCACATGGTGTAGTTACCGTCTAATTCGCATACACATTTCAACATTCGTGTGCACTTTCTTTTTCTATAATCTTTAACTGATGTAAAGTAGACGATGCAAAATGTGCTGAATCTCTGCAGACACAACTGCCAGTAACACTGTTATTCAGTATTTTGAAACTAAGATTAAGTTTTTGTTAATAATTGCGATATGATGTAAATTAACAACCTATCTACATTTTTTTAGATGTTACAATATCATCACCGTCGGCTATTCATGATAATAATTTACAATATCATACAAAAACGGCAACGAATACTTCAACATACTTACCACTGGTATTAATTATATGCATGATATCAGCCGTGACGAATCCATTTTTATACGGTTATTTTAATGAAAGTCTTAAAAACGAATTTCTACAATTATTTTCACGTTTTATATGTTGTAGGGTAAAACGATGACTCTCTATTAAATAATAATTACTAACGGAATACAAACACTGGTTCAGCATACAAACACTTCAACAAGTCGAACAGTTGGAAATCATCCATATCAATCAAAAAAACCAAAGAAAGGCATAAATGTAACTTTTGCAGTATCACATCAGTCTTTAGATCAAAGATTTAATATTGAAATTAAAATATGATAAACAACACAAATATCTTCATATTCATTCTGATGAATGTCACCTTTGATTCTAAGACACGTTTTTAATAGAACTCTGCTTTTTTGATAAAAATTAATTAACATAATTGTACTCACATTTCATTTGACTACTAGGATATTAATATTGTTTATATTTAGAGTAAAGTAATCTCGCATACTGGAAATCCTCCAATGATCTATGGATGGTTGTTGTTTTCCGACTTCGAAATTGAGTCGTAATTATCTGACGATAACGGAGACCGAGTTTTGAATAGTTTGACGAAGAATCTAGTTATGCGTTCTAACAGTTAATGTAGACGATATGGATAAAGAATGGGACAATGTTAAAAGTAACGTTCTCATAATAATTCCGACTAATCAACGATCTTACGAATAACAATATATATTTTATTTAATAAAGTAAAATAATTTGTATAAGACCGCAATAAAATACATATTAAGAATTTTAACCAAATTCATTAATTTTATTTGTCGATTTCGAGCTTTCGGTACTGGCTCATACCATTGTTAAGAAACAATTTACATTCTCTGTATATCACAAAATGTGACTCTTTTGCTATTTGACATATCGGAAGAACAGAAAAAGATAGAAATTAGCTTACAGGCTAATTTCTATCTTTTTCATT